AATCAGCACGTTCGATTACCTATTGTCAACTGAGTTTAAGCTCAAAAGCGAGGAGGCAGTTGGTGGCCTTCCCTCGTAAGTTTTGAGTTTTGGGTACAAAACATTCAACACATGAGCCAAATGTTTTCGTTTTTTTCTCATGGCTGGATAGAATCAATCGAGTTACCCAGGAAAAAGACAAATTTAGATTTCTGGAAGTTATGTTTCTGCGAATTTTAAAACTATTAGTTTTCAAATATCGGTGCAACAATTTCGGTCAAAAATTTTAAAACGTTCAGAGCTGTCCGAAAATTCTAAAATTGAGTTTTTGACACCACTTCCGTACAAGGGCGTGGTTATTGCGAAAATATTGAAAATCGATGGTGCCAAATGCACGATAGTGCACTTCCTGATTTTTGTCGCTAGTTTCGAAAAACCTCAGTTTCTCAGTAACATTTGAAAGAAAGGATACACAGCTTTTTTCTCATGTATAGCTCGGTTAGAATGAAATAGAAAAAGTTGTAAAAATGTTGAATTATCATGAAGGATGCGGCAAGCAACGTTGTAAACATCGTTATAGACTTTTTCACATAAGATCTGTTATGCTGAAGTGTCCGTCTGGCTGTACACACTGAGATCAAGGATACAATCTACTTTGTCTAGGCTATCGGTGCTGGAAATGCCTCAGATTCATCAATCGATTGTTCAAATCTACAATATGGTGATGTTTTTTTCCACGTTTTGCTCTCATCCACTTTTCCTGTAAATGACAGCATATATGGTTTCGAAGATAGTGGTCATGATTCTGAAATTATTTTTCATTTGACGCAGTAGTTCCGGATAAAAATTGGGCTAATAAAAAGTTGGGCTAATTTATGCTGACATAATAGATACAGTATATGTAGAAGAACATTCTGTCAAAATTCGATAGCTAGTTCCGGATAAAAATGGAAAATAGAAATCTATTTAACACACCTAGCTCTTTACACACCGAGATTGATCATCTAGAGAAGGTACACAATTTTCGACGTTGAGTAAACATTTAGAAGATTTACACACCTGGTAACACACTTTATTCTTTACAATGCGGACATGTGACTTACTTGCTCGGGTGGAGAAGATGAAAAAGAATAGTTTGAGAATTTTTGAAACAGCACAGACGATTTGAAATAGTTTGTATCTCAGAGGTCAAGATGAAACAAGGATTACGGACCTAAAACTGCCTATGAAATTCACGGAGATCTTCAAAGTATCGTAGAATGATAACCTACTATCCATTTCAAAATATTATGTGCTTGGCTATTTTTTGAATCACTTCAGAGCGAAGAAAGATAGAGATCTGCAGTTATCAGTATTTTGTAGAGGAAGCTTTACTGCATCTTTTGATATATGGGGATTTGTACGAATCGGATTTCTAGGCGGTGTACTTAACATGCGAGAAAAGAAGTGGTTATCAGGTATCGACGGCAAAATATTTTTTTTTTACTCAAGGTGTTTAAGCCTCATTTAAGACAATCGGTGGATGACCGTATTTACTTTTAATACTGTTTTGAATATGTTTCGTAATATAGTCCAATCGGGACGCAACGATATCCTGAATGGGATATATATCCCGATTCGAATCTTTATTGTATCCCCTTCATGAACTCTACATGTCCTTCATAAACTCTACATGTCGATCAAGAAAAATATCCCGTTTGGAGTATAAGTCATGAGATCGCACTGTCAGAGACTCGTACTGGCATACTTTTTTCATTTCTCTAAAATTTCTACACGAATATATAATTACGCGACGTTATATGTTGGTAAACAGAAAAAAGTCATACTTTTTGTTTCGTAAGTGTTGAATGCTGCAATTGTCCTTTTGTTACATTAATACATTCATTGTTACTTAAGTGATCAGTTCTTTATATAAATATTTTTGTACATTTAAAAATTATATTTTTCTCTGTTAGAAAGAAAAGCACTTTATTTTGTTTTCGAACTGGAATGGGTAACAGTAATCAGACCGGGTAAGATAGTGTGCAAAAGTCCATTCATATCGACATCTTTGAACAGTTCAACCATAAAATCTTAAAAAGCAATGGAAAATCGATAATTAAAGTAGAGTTATACTCTTTCACACACTTTCTTTTCAATTCAAAAATTTATACTAAATATTTGTCAACGAATAAAGCCGTTGAAAATTAATATTTGAATGTCAATTTCAAAAAACTGCTCATAAAACAAAAATATTGTTAATAGAATCTTATTGGCTGTAATCTTCTTCTGTTTAGAGACAGCGCGACTCTCACGGAGCCGTCTGTACAGTCAACAGCTCGAGACATATCATCAGCTCGGCAACTTCGTCGTACTTCGTCGACTGCACATGCACATAAACACCTCTATCGCATTCATCCCGAGCATGTCGAGGATAGTTCTAAGCTAACTGTTACCACGTGTCAGCCGTCATCGGTAGAGAAAGATTCTTGCATTCAGTTACCCCCTGATAATCAACGAAGAAGTAAAAGGGCTTTTTCTTTCTCAGAGAAACGAATAAAAGCTTCTTGGTTAGATCAAAATTCAGCAACCCATGAACAACAATCTGTCAAAACACACCGTGAAAAACGTCATCATCAATGGTTTCGACATCATGATCAACCTGATTATTATAGTATTTATTATCAACTAAATGACAAACCATTCGCAATACGTCGCCGTGAATCTATTAAAAATGAACAAGGAAACCAAGAGAAAAAGAAACATCCAATGATAGCGTTTGCTGAACAGGATACGACATCAAAGCGAGATCAGATCTATGTTTGAATTAAGATTTAGTTATTCAGATAAAATACTGAACACCGAAGAAATTTTAAATGAATTACTCTTTGTA